GGAAACCTTAAGTTGCGAGAGATAGCGGAATCTATCTGCAGTACAGGTGTTTTGTTCAACGGAATGTGTGAAGACTTGAGCTCAGTGCAAGCGGCGGTGTACCGACGAGAACGTTTCCTTGGACAAACTGACCTCCTTTTTTCCAAAGGAGCCAGGTATATTTGTGACATGGCAGACTAAAGGAAACTATCCTGCGACGAGGATGGGATTCGAACCCACGCGTGCAGAGCACAATGGATTAGCAGTCCATCGCCTTAACCACTCGGCCACCTCGTCTGCTGCCGGCTCCTTTTTGCAGTGAAAGTCGAATTCAGGCCACTTACAGTTGGTTTTGTCTAGTTTTGGAACGGCGTGGCATGGAGGGGAGGCAGACGGGACGAGTGAGGTGCCTGCTCCCCGCACAGGGGAATTAGCTCAAATGGTAGAGCGCTCGCTTAGCATGCGAGAGGTAGCGGGATCGACGCCCGCATTCTCCAGGAGTCCTTGGGTCTGCTTGTGTTTCTGATCAGCGGACATGATGCGGAGTCCAAGACCACAGTGGGGCTTTTTGCACCAGCTCAACCGAGAACTGCCTGAAGACAACCAGTGGGTGGTTCTTCACAGTTGTGTCTTGTGTCTTTTCCTGGAGAATTTCCCGGTCACCTCCCAGGATTGTTACATATGCCTGCAAAGTATTGAATTCCTTTTCCTTCACTCAAGCTCTGTGGAATACAAAAACAGGGAAATTATAGAAAGTAGTGTAACCATACTCCTTAGTACACTTGTAATCAATGAAACATTTGATGTTTTATTGAAATGTCATGTGACATAGAATGTAACAAAACAGACTTTTACAGTTAAAGCCAAAGCCAGGTCCCTTTACGGGGTGTCTTAAAGAGGCTTTGAATGTCCGCTGCAATGGCAAGGCTTGGAAGGGAGGGGGAGGGCACATTAATTGTCAGAGAAATGAATGAGGTGTGTAAAGAAGACCTCGTTGTTCTCCCGCTGTGTGGAATGCCGAATAATTGTGATCATTGAAACATTTGATGTTATTTTATTGAAGATAATATGTTGTAACACCAGTAACGTTCTGCGTTGGCCACTCCAATACGTTTTTTCTCTATTCAGTCGAGGACCAGGCAGGTGATTATTGTATTTGACTCTGCTCATAGGAGGACCGGGCAGGTGATGTTTATAGTTGACTATGCTCATAAGAGGACCAGGGAAGACATGGGGCTGGTGGCAGAAGACCCTGTTGAAATAGGGATGGGCCAAAGAACCAGCCCATCCGTTGGACTCAGGAGGACAGTGCCACGCCAGTTGTGACACTGTGGCGCAGGCGTAAATCTCCTACTCACCCTCCCGATTTTGTGGCTCCTGGAACTCCATGACTCCATGTTCATGTTCCACAGGTGCAGAAGGGAGCTCTCTTGCTTTTAGCAGGGAGTCCTTAAGACGGCCACCTCTTCTTTTTACAGTAAAGGTCTGAGCCGGGTCGCTTTACGTTTCTTTTTTACATAGGCCTGGAATGTCCGATGCAATGGCAAGGCTTGGAGGGGAAGGGGAGGGCGAGCCCACGAGATAGGTGCTTGCTCCTTGCACAGGATAATTAGCTCAAATAGCAGAGCGCTCGCTCAGCATGCTTGAGGTAGCCCGCTTTCTTCAGGAGAATTTGGGGTTCTTCTGTTTGTGATCAGAGGAACAGGCAATTTACGTGGCCATATGCTATGCACAGGTGGAAAGTGGCAACCTTAAGTTGCGAGAGATAGCGGAATCTATCTGCAGTACAGGTGTTTTGTTCAACGGAATGTGTGAAGACTTGAGCTCAGTGCAAGCGGCGGTGTACCGACGAGAACGTTTCCTTGGACAAACTGACCTCATTTTTTCCAAAGGAGCCAGGTATATTTGTGACATGGCAGACTAAAGGAAACTATCCTGCGACGAGGATGGGATTCGAACCCCCGCGTGCAGAGCACAATGGATTAGCAGTCCATCGCCTTAACCACTCGGCCACCTCATCTGCTGCCGGCTCCTTCTTGCAGTGAAAGTCGAATTCAGGCCACTTACAGTTGGTTTTGTCTAGTTTTGGAACGGCGTGGCATGGAGGGGAGGCAGACGGGACGAGTGAGGTGCCTGCTCCCGCACAGGGGAATTTGCTCAAATGGTAGAGCGCTCGCTTAGCATGCGCGAGGTAGCGGGATCGACGCCCGCATTCTCCAGGAGTCCTTGGGTCTGCTTGTGTTTCTGATCAGCGGACATGATGCGGAGTCCAAGACCACAGTGGGGCTTTTTGCACCAGCTCAACCGAGAACTGCCTGAAGACAACCAGTGGGTGGTTCTTCACAGTTGTGTCTTGTGTCTTTTCCTGGAGAATTTCCCGGTCACCTCCCAGGATTGTTACATATGCCTGCAAAGTATTGAATTCCTTTTCCTTCACTCAAGCTCTGTGGAATACAAAAACAGGGAAATTATAGAAAGTAGTGTAACCATACTCCTTAGTACACTTGTAATCAATGAAACATTTGATGTTTTATTGAAATGTCATGTGACATAGAATGTAACAAAACAGACTTTTACAGTTAAAGCCAAAGCCAGGTCCCTTTACGGGGTGTCTTAAAGAGGCTTTGAATGTCCGCTGCAATGGCAAGGCTTGGAAGGGAGGGGGAGGGCACATTAATTGTCAGAGAAATGAATGAGGTGTGTAAAGAAGACCTCGTTGTTCTCCCGCTGTGTGGAATGCCGAATAATTGTGATCATTGAAACATTTGATGTTATTTTATTGAAGATAATATGTTGTAACACCAGTAACGTTCTGCGTTGGCCACTCCAATACGTTTTTTCTCTATTCAGTCGAGGACCAGGCAGGTGATTATTGTATTTGACTCTGCTCATAGGAGGACCGGGCAGGTGATGTTTATAGTTGACTATGCTCATAAGAGGACCAGGGAAGACATGGGGCTGGTGGCAGAAGACCCTGTTGAAATAGGGATGGGCCAAAGAACCAGCCCATCCGTTGGACTCAGGAGGACAGTGCCACGCCAGTTGTGACACTGTGGCGCAGGCGTAAATCTCCTACTCACCCTCCCGATTTTGTGGCTCCTGGAACTCCATGACTCCATGTTCATGTTCCACAGGTGCAGAAGGGAGCTCTCTTGCTTTTAGCAGGGAGTCCTTAAGACGGCCACCTCTTCTTTTTACAGTAAAGGTCTGAGCCGGGTCGCTTTACGTTTCTTTTTTACATAGGCCTGGAATGTCCGATGCAATGGCAAGGCTTGGAGGGGAAGGGGAGGGCGAGCCCACGAGATAGGTGCTTGCTCCTTGCACAGCAGCACAACCACAGTCTGATCTGCTGGCCACTAAGCAGCTCCATTGGAGTGGTTGGAATTAAGGGCCTTGTTCCAGGGCACCAGTGGTGGTGAAAGAGGGAGGGCAAGCAGTGCATGTTCACTTTTTCACGACTAGATTTCGACCTCCCGGTTGAAAGCTTGCTTCTCTAACCTTTTAGGCCACCACTACAAAATAAGGTTAGGTTCTTCAATGTGTGTTTACCAGTCTGGTTTTGCAAGTGCAATTTTCCCGTGCAGCCATCTGCTGGGGCAGCAGCATCAGAGCCAGTGACACTAAGAAGCTGAACAAGAGGCTCTGTGCTGCCCTGCAACCTCTGCAGGATGGAAGGATGCAGCACAAACTGCTCAGAATGATGGACAACGCATCCTCTACACTAACTACTGGTCCCTTCAGCCTCACAGTAATAAGAGAGTCACTCCTGCCCACTGCAATTAAATGAACATGACTCCCTTCTGGGCAGGAGAGGAGACTTATCTCTTCTGAATGACAATGCACATCCTCCACTCGTTGCACAGATACAATCAGAGAGACATAGCTTTCAGCCTTGTTTTATCTAGTAGAATAGTAGTTTGTATGAATATATATTTGTAAATGTGTTAATACCTTGGTCCCTCCTACTATTTAGTGCCATTTCTGCCTGGCTACTTTCTATGGTCCAAAAAGCTGCTGCAAGGCTGCTAACCAGGTCCAAACTCTCATAACACCCATTCTGTCCTCATTGCATTGGCTCCCTGTTAAAGTCAGGATTCAATTCAAAGTGCTCACTTTAACATACAGAGCACTGCATGGTCAGGCACCTGGGTACATCTCAGACCTGATGCACCCGTATACCACCACTAGGCCACCAAGATCTTCAGACCAAGGCCTACTAGCTGTACCGCATGCAGTCGAAGCATTTAAAAATAAGCCTTTGTCTCCCCCAAAAACCTTTAAATGTGAATATTCATGTGCTCTTTAAAATTCAAAATGCCGTAATCTTGATTATTCATGCACCTTTTAATAAACACAAACATATTGTTTATATTGAATGATGCCTTTATGGTTTAAATGTTTGATGCTTATGCAACTATCTGATTGCTCCACTGTTTGTGCTATTTTTTATTATTGTAAAGCTCCTAATTGAGCCTCTCGCTGTGAAAGGAGCTATATTAAATAAATGTCGCGTACTTACTACTTACTATTACAAAATGCGAAACCTCCCACGATGCTATGATTGTATCTGAAGGAGGGCTTGTTAAATCTATTACTTAAACTACTACTAAAGAAAAACATATTGTCACAGCCATGATGTTGATGTTGTTATTATTATTTCAAATAGGACATGTTCGATTTTAGGGAATCTATCTATTTATCTATCTAAACTGTCAAACCTACACTTGCGCTGCCTTTATGTACAGTCGGAAACATTAGATCTGTCTGTTATACACAAGTTAAACACGTCTGTTAACGATCCGAAGAACCGACACTTTGCAGAAACAGTTATAAATCAATGCCGGGACATGAAAACGGGAAAGTTAATATCTGGTCGACGTGTGATCCGTATGACATTATACGCTTTTGACCGGTGAAGGGGAAGAAAACGAGTTTATGAGGAGACCTTGAAGGCAGCATCCACCTGCAGCTCGAGCTCAGCCTCAGATTTTCTCTGCCACCTGTTGGTTTGTCGGTTTGTGTTTCCAGCTGAGAGACAGACACGTGTCCGTGTTTACAGGTGAAACGCAGGTGTTTCTCTCGAGGCTCGGCGGTGACAGATGGTTACGTCACTTAACCCGCTTTGTATCGGCTGGTTCCCATGGAGACCGAGGATTAACCAACCCAACCGGGTTTAGCTGAGTTAGCTTAAAGCTAAAGTTACCGGTAACCGTCGGTTTGTCCCGACAGGTGTAACGTTACCTGAAGGAGCTGCTAGCTAACAGAGTTCAAAGCGCTTTGTAGCAACACCGAGGACACGTAACGTTATTCCAGTCTGCCCAGTACGGAGCTTTACTGGTTATTATCGGCTTTAACTATGTGGGTTAACCCCGTGAAATATATCTTATTAGTTTATTCTTCTTAACTAAGTTACCAACTAACGTTAGGTAGTCTTAATTAGCGAGTAAGTGCAGCTAACTGTAGTTTGTGGTGTTACACAGTTTTCTGTCACCTGATGAAGAAGAAACTCAGTCTTGAGTTCACAGACGCACGTTGTTCAGATATAAGTAAGTAATAAGGCTTAATTAACTAAATAACCATATTAATAAATACATTATTTTGAGCTCTTAATGTTTCACAACAACTAAAACTCTTGCTGGTGTTTATTCATTTCAGCAGGTTGTAATTCAGGATGTGTTTTTGTCCAAAGTCAGATGCCAAAATCAAGTTTCTGTTTTCTGTTTTTATCCATTTTAGTTCACAGAGAAACTTTTCATCTCAGTCTTGTACATTTGTCAGATCATCCTTAACATTTGAAAAACAGGATTTCTTGAATCAGCAGCTCACAGTGGACCTGCAAAAGCCTGTAACTTGCTCAAATCCCTTAGTTTATCTCTCAACAGTGCCGCTGGTTATAAACCAGACAGTCAATGTGTTGTCATATAACAGTGTACTCTAAGTATTCTCTGATGGAAACTATGGCTGAGGTCTGGATCACAATGATTGAAAAAGCACGAAGCTGCACTTTTTCTCTACGACACATCAGTTTAAACAGTACAAAGTTACACGTTACTGTATTTGAGTTTGTTCTGTTGTGTGTTGACAGAACGTCACAGTCAAGATGAGACTGTTTAAGACGGGAATAAAATACACATGTTGCTGTCCACATCATCCACATAACAACTGATATCTCCATCAGCTCAGGACAAAAAATGTCTATAATAGACAAGTAGAAAATCAGCTGGACAGATTCTGACGTCGTCTTCCACCATTTTGCGTGTAGTGACTTCTGCAGTGAACTGATTCCTTGATGTTTTGGGGGGTCAAACTGTCAACAGAGAGAGACATGAGCCAAGCCACAAGCCACTGAGACAAACAGGGCAAAGACAGCTTTGCAATTTTTTGTCCACACATTCAGGCTGAAGCAACAGATTGAATAATATTTAATAGGTTTTTAAACTATCGGGGTTTTTTCATTGTAATCGTAACAGTGTTTTATTTATTTAAATAATATTGAACAGTTTGGTATCTCAGAGACGACCGGTTAGAGTTTATGTGAGGTAACAAAATGCAGCACAACACCTGTCTTCCTTCACTCTTCTCCCTGTTGTCTGTCCTCAGCCTGTCCTGATGTCTGGTCCAGAGGTGGAGGAGCAGAGGGAGGCCGGAGGAGGTGCAGGCTCCCAGGAGAACAGAGCAGGAGGAGGTAGAGGAGCTTTAACACCACGTTCCTCACATGATGACACCGTTTGTTAATCAGCACTCGTCCTCTCCTCTCAGGTATCAGGTATATTACAGAGAAACTGCTGTTGAAGCTGACTGGCTGTGAGTCTCTGGCTCTGATCCGGTCCCTCAATCTGTCGTCCTCGACTGGAAGCAAACATATCAAGGTCAGAACAAACTGATACTGCAAGTACTACAGCTGTTACTACTGCTACTGCTCCCACAGGCTCCGCTGATACTCCGCTATTACTGCTGCTGTTACACCTTCTGGGGGAGTCGGGGTTTATCAGTTTTTTGTTTGTGTTTCAGTTCATAGAGAACCTTCATGGCTGTCAGCGTCTGCAGGTTTTAAACCTGAACCACAACGTGATCCAGAGGATGGAGAGACTGAACGCTCTGACGCAGCTGAGAGAGCTGCAGCTGGCCCACAACAGCATCCAGTGAGCCTCACACACAGTTTACAGTCCACCTGTGCATTTAGGACTACACCTGCTCACAGGTGGTGCTAACCACCAGCTGAGGAAACATTATTAACCCTTAAACAGGAAGAAAGAGCAGGGGTAATATTTCTGCATTTGGTCTGAAGTTATGTCAAACTGCAATATTAGGCTGTCTTTGTTCCACTGTTGGGAGTCTATGGGATCAAATAATATAGTCATTGTCCCACAGCAGCCAGGAACTGAGCAAAGCTAAGCAAGTAAACTAACGCTGCCTGCACACTACAGCAGAGATTCCCAACCAGGGGTACTTGTACCCTAAGGCAGAGGTCGGCAATAGGCGGCCCGCGGGCCAAAGCTGGCCCACCAGCACTAATATCTGACACCTGGTCAGATTACTTTGTGCTGAAACAGATCTCAGTCATGACAGCAAAAGTTGCTCACATAATCACTCCCTCCTAATTGATTGTGCCTACAAAATTAAAGCGCAAGATTGTTTTTGCAGCAATTCTTGTTAAATTGAGAGCTTTTACTTTGAAAAGTTCTGAAGGAAATTCAAAAGAGTCTCTGGCTTGCTTGAAAAAGAAATCTGAAAACGTGAGATCGGATTCCCCTGGATGAGAACAGCAGGAATTTCCTCTGCCTGGAGATGCTGGGGAAATGAAAATAAACGTCCGTAGGATGATGTGGACAAACGCGCGCACTCCTGCACATGCTTAATTGTGCTTTATGTGAAAAGATTTTTCATAATAAATTTGTTGAAAAAGTAGAAAAATAAAAACAAGCTGCACCTGGGGATTGTCTTTGATGGTTAGCCGTGATATTACAGAAAAAGCCCTCTGTGTTAACCATTTAGCTGCTGTGTTTGTGCATCATCTGTGTTTGTTTGCAGGAGGATTGAGGGACTGGAGCTCATGTCCAGGCTGCAGCATCTGAACTTGTCCTACAACAGGATCGACCATGTTCCCGCGTGGCTGGGGAAGAAACTGCACTCACTGCACACGCTCCACCTGCAACACAACCTCATCACATCTGTGAGTGCAGGCCACGCCTCCCATTTGTGTCGCTTCTCATCTGGGTGTCGCTGTAGACAGTTTAAACAGTCATCCAGATCAATAAATGTTGCCTCATCTGTGGGATGTAGCCCCACTGCTCAATATTATATTTCATTAAACTGTTATTATTTCTTCTGATGTTAGCGGAGGCTCTTCCATACGTCTCTACTTATAAGCTCAAGTCTCTAAATGTTTAGAGAGATTCGGTTTACTGTGATGGAAAAGAGACAAATAACAGGAAGTGGTTGGTAATTTTGCTTGATAAATAACTTTAACGATCGATTTGGTGATCAGGAAACAGGGTTATCTCTGTACCGGTGTGTGTGTGCTTGCTTGCAGTTGCACGAGGTGTCCAGGCTGCGTTCTCTGAGTAGCCTGTCGGAGCTTTCTGTGTCAGGAAACCCCGCCTCCTCTCTGCCGCACTCCCGCCTCTTCCTGCTCTATCACCTCAGGACTCTGGACAGGCTGGACAACCTGCCAATCACCCTGGAGGAGAGAGGACACGCCCACCAACGCTTCAACACCGGTACATCATTTCATACAAACACGAGAACATCTCCAAACTAACAGTATTTTCGTTTTACAGACACAAACTCTTGTTTTAATTGTTGGTGGTTGTGATCAGAGGAGCTGGAGCGTCTGCAGCGGGAGGTGGACGGCAGCCAATCAGAGCTGAGCCGGCTGCAGAGAGAGCAGGTGGCCGCAGTGACTCGACTCCACCAGCAGGAGGAGACAAACCGAACGCTGACGGCTCAGACAGAAACACAAAGACACACACACACACAGCTGGAGCAGGAGCTGCACACCAAGAGTCAGCTGGTACGACACACACACACATGTTCTGTATCTATAACGACGCTTTGATCGATCAGTGTTGCAGATTGACCTCCTGAGAGAGAAGGTTTTTGACCTCTGACCTCCTAAGGCCTCCTGTCTCTCTCTTCTTCTTCTCCATCGCTTCCTGCAGCTGTTCTACAGAGCTGTCCTGTCTTCTTCTTCTTCTCCTTCAGTCGTTTCCTCTCTGCTGAAGGTAGAGTCACAAACACTGTTCACACTCGCAGCAACCAATCACCTTTAAATTTACCAGACTGAGAAGAAAAAGTTATTTCCACCTCAGAGATATCTGAATGTTCCCGACTGCCTCCACACACTCCAGGTGGCGCTGTTGATCGTAATCTTTGGGCTGATCCGGACTACTGAGCTCTGAGTAAAAGATTCAGAATCAGAAAACACATTGATCAACATTCCAACTAAATGTAAATGTATCTCAGTTTTCATTAGCAGTCCCTTTGCCTGATGTTGTGAGGTATTAAATTAGGCAAGATTTTTAGGCTGTCTACACGAACGTGGGTATTTTTGAAAGCGTGACTTTTTCTACACTGTTTCAGGTCACTGAAACCGAAACATTTTTGAAAACTCCTGCCAGGTTAAGGATTTTAAAAAACGCCGGTTGTAGTGTTGTCGGGTAGACGATGACGAAGTCACGAAGTTTTTGCCTTGCGATGTCAGAGTGCTCACCGTTATCTGCTGTGTTTGATGTCAGATTGGGCGCCACTGCCTGCTTTGTTTACGATTTTATTAGGCTCTGATTTGCCAACATGGCTTTACGGTTAAGGCAAGGCAAGCTTATTTGTATTGCACATTTCAACAACAAGGCAATTCAAAGCCCAAAGGGTCATATCGCTGCCTGGTGCTTTGGCATGCTCTTGTCAGTGCTGGATAGCAAGTATTTGCATTTTTGTGAGAGTTTTTTTTAAAAAGGAGGAAAAATTCCGGTTATAAAAATACCCGTGTCCCTGTGGACAAGGCCAGAATCAGCTTTATTGCCAAGTAAGTTTACACATACAAGGCATTTTGTTTGGTATTTTGATGCATAAGAATAAACATAGTTGGTTGAAATTATTAGAAGGATAAAACAAGTACTGCAGGTCAAGAATAATAAATATAAAAAATTGATAATAATATATAAAATGTAAAAGAATAAAAAATATATAGAAAATATGGATGTTATTTACATTACAGTTATTTATAATTACAGGGATATGCAAAAAAAAGTAGTAGTAGTTATGACACCTCACCAAGATGATATGACATAATGCAGTTTAAAAACAAACGTACAGACAACAAAAGTAACAAAAGTACTGAATTCTTGCTCTGGTGGATAAAGTATGCAACAACAACACTCGTTACATGATTGAAGGATCCGTCTTCCATCTCTAAATTGTCAGTTATCATCTGTTATACAGATAACGATTTATCTGCAATCATCTCAGATCGGCTGATACTATCATCATGCCGATTTCTCGGTCGGGCTCTATACAGTATCTCACAAAAGTGAGTTCACCCGTCACATTTTTGTAAATATTTGATTGTCTCTTCATGTGACAACACTGAAGAAATGACGCTTTGCTACAATGTAAAGTAGTGAGTGTACAGCTTGTGCAACAGTGTAAATTTGCTGTCCCCTCAAAATGACACATCACACGGCCATTAATGTCTAAACCGCTGGGAGCAAAAGTGAGTACACCACTGAGTGAAAAGGTCCTTGTACTTCTTAAACGATGCATCGATGAAATAATCTGTAGAAGCTTTGTGTACTGAAATCATCGTTAGCTGCAGCCCTAGTGTGCGGCGTATGGTCTGAGCACTGACAGACTGACCCTCCATCCCTTCAACCTCTGCAGCAAAGCAGGCAGCACTCATGTGTTTATTTCCCAAATACAACCTCTGGATATGACGCTGAGCACGTGCACTCACCTTCTTTGGTCGACCATGGCGAGGCCTCTTCTGAATGGAATCTGTGCTGCTGAACCGCTGTATGGTCTTGGCCACCGTGCTGCAGCTCAGTTTCAGGGTCTTGGCAGTCTTCTTATAGCCTCGGCCATCTTTAAGTAGAGCAACAATTATTTTTTTCAGACCCTCAGAGAGTTCTTTGCCATGAGGTGCCATGTTGACCTTCCAGTGACCAGCATGAGGGAGTGTGAGAGGGAAAACACCAAATTTAACACACCTGCTCTCCGTTCACACCTGAGACCTTGTAACGAGTCACATGACACGGGGGAGGGAAAATGGCTAATTGGGCCCAATTTAAACTTAGGGGTGTACTCACTTTTGTTGCCAGCGGTTTAGACATTAATGGCTGTGTGATGTGTTATTTTGAGGGGACAGCAAATTTACAGTTATCCAAGTTGTTTTATCATCCAACCCTAGTGTGAGCCACAGGGACGGGGAACTTTAACTTTAAACCTTAAATCAGTCCTACAGTTTGTCTCTTCTGTAAAGTAGTTGTTCTTGTGAGAGGCAGATTTAAAAACAGAAATCTGTGCAGCTATCTGACAGATATCCTGACTTACAGTCTCTAAAACTGTAAGACTGTGAACAATCTGTAAATAAACACTGGCTCCTTCATATTATGGATTATATATTATTAAATATATATTAGTAAATATTTAACAGTTCAGTTATATTTTCTGTAAATTTTATCTCCCTACATGAAGGTCTAAAATGCTGTTTCAAATACTTCTACCTAGTGCCAGAACAAACATTTTGGGAAAAATCTAAATCGCTTAATTTTATTTGAACTATTTTGGTACATTTGAATATGTGGAGAATATCAAATCAAACCGTAGAAAACCAGGATGTGTAGTTGTAGAATGGAAGTTCAGGGTGTTAAAGAAGCAGCTTCTCTTCCAGTTTCGTGTCCAAAGTGAGACTCCGTGTGTTATCACAGTACTAAAAGCTGTAACTCCTGCTTTCCGTGTGGCTTCTTCTTCTTCTGTCTCTGTACATCTAGCCCCGCCTTCCCATCTCTCTGCTGGCCGTGGTCTATCAGGTACTCTGACATCACATTAACATTCAATCTCCCATCATCCCTAGCTCGCTCAGACCCTCAGACCCCGGCTGTGTGATCCCAGGTAGCTTCACTCTGAGACAAGTGTGTGTGCGTGTGTGTGTGTGTGAACGTCCGCCATCTTTAGTGTGTTTTGACCTGTATTGTTCAGCATATCTGCATTACCTTCACCTATTCTGATAACATGCTCACTGTTAAAGTGAATAATGTTCTCAGATATTCAAAATTACCTTTATTAGAAACAGATATAACATTTCTGCATTTCTACTGTTGTTTAGCTTCAGTGTTTGCTGTGTTTTTTGTAACGTTTCTGCTGTTACAGTTTTTTCTGATTTCTTAAGCACATTTTTTGTAACTATTGGCTATTTTTGCAAAACTCTACACACAAATAAGAAAACTTTTTACCCAATTATCAAAACATTGTAGTTCTCTTGCAAAAGCGAACACAGCTAGATTAACTCTTCACACCTTTGTAAAAATGGTGTTTTCGTATCAAACAGTAAACACAAAAAACAATCAGCCTACATCATGTCGTCTTTCTGGGTCCGGCACACAAAATTTCGTCCACATCGCATGCGATATCCTCCAGTCCAAGGCACCAGGGAAAATATCTTCTTGAATGCCGTATCCAGGCCTGACATGATGCCTGGTCAATATCTCCACATGCCTCCTCCATTGCCTGTAAAAGGGCTACCTGTTGATGAGGATGACGGTTGTACACTTTCCAGCGCCAGGCAGAGAAGAACTCCTCGATGGGATTTAAGAATAGAGAGTATGGAGGGAGGTTGAGTGCCATGAAGAATGGGTGGTCTGTAAACCAGTTGCAGCCCTATGGAAACTAACATTGTCCCATATGATGACATATCGGGTCTGGTCTGGTCTCTGAACAGTGAGCATGTCATGTAAGGTGTCCAGGAATGCAATAATGTGTGCAGTGTTGTATGGGCCTATGGTTGCATGATGGTGAACAACACCATTTGTTACCACCACGTTGTCCTGGGACATTGATGATGGCACGGTGTCCAATAATGTTCCTGTCACGTCTCCTGGTTTTACTGAGGTTAAAACCGGCCTCATCTACAAAAAGTAGCTCATGTCCCATGGCATCTGCTTCTAGTTCCATCACTCTCTGGACAAGACAAAACAAATGCAGCACATCAGGCCCGTGCACAGCACTACAGTATGCACTTCCAAATTCAGAACCAATGACACTATAGCTTACCTGCACATAGTCATATCGCAGTTGCTTTACACGTTCTGTGTTTCTCTCGAAAGGAACTCTTTAAATTTGCTTCATTCTTATTCTGTGGCGCGCAAGTACATGACTTAGTGCAGAAATGCTTACACTGTGTATATTTTGAAAGATGGTGTCATTATCAATTATGCGCTGCTGTATTTCACGCAGTCTTATTGCATTATTGGCAATCACCATGTTCACTATATGGGTCTCTTGCTCTGGAGTGAACATTCTTCCTCTGCCCCCAACATGTGGACGTCTAGCAATTCAGAAAAAACTGTAATAAAAACTCCAGACTTCCTCTGGCTATTTCACATTAAAGGCCTTTATGTATGTGTCTTCAGCTGGAGAAGACAACGGCTGAGCTGACCAGAGCCTTTCACAGACTGTATGAGCTGGAGCAGGAGTTGTCTTTCTACAAGATAGATGCCAAACTCAGCCCTCTGGCGCTCTGCAGTGCACAGGTAACAACAAACAGTTCAAGGAAACAAATTTCCCAAGTATTTCTGACACCTGCCAGAGGAACTTAATATGATTTGAGTTACGCTCAAGCTCTGTGGAATACAGGAAAAAGGAAATTATAGAAAGTAGTGTAACCATTTGCTACTTAGTCCACTTGTGATCAATGAAACATTTGATGTTTTAGTGAAATGGCATATTTCAGTGACAGATCGTAACAAAACAGAGTTGGTGCAAGAAAAGTCATGGAAGCCGTGGAAACAGGGAACGTCAGCGGCGTCTCTTCATAATGGTCACTGAATTTGTTGCTGCATCAGCAAATACATGTTGTCTGCGTTTAAAGCTGATGTCACCTCATCAGTACCGCATGTCGGACCACAAACTGAACTATTTTCATCCTCACGGGATAATCACGTGTGGAAATGTCTACCAAACACTTTAAATGTCAGAGAAATTAATGACGTGTGTAAAGAAGAGCTTGTTGTCAGCAGGATTCAAACGTGCGCGTGGAGACCCCAATGGATTTCTAGTCCATCGCTTTAACCACTTTGCTACAACAACTTATGGAGGAATCCGGTTGTGTGGAATACAGAATACATGGAAATTATAGAAAGTAGCAAGACTATTTAGTACTTAGTACACTTGTGATCATCGAAACATTTGATGTTGTTTTTTTGAATTTGCATATTTCAGCGACATGAAACAGAACAAAACAGACTTGGAGCGAGAAAACTCATGAAAGCCGGTAGAGTTTTAACTGTGACAACTTCTGTTGTGTCTTCATGGTGGACCCAGAAAACTGAATTGTTCCAAACGGAGCCAGCTATATTGTTGACATGTAAACATGGCAGACTAAAGTAAATGAGAGATGGATTCGAACACAACAATAACAAACACACTTCAGATAGTTGTATTGGTCCAACACTTTTGAGGCCGATACAGATATCGAGATCTGACTGAAAAAGTCAGAGACTAATGTATTGGATATTTATATTTGATATTTATCTTTTCATATAAGGGATTTTCAGTCTGAATGGGTTTTGATTATCAAACAACCACAAATGAAAAGGTCAAACACCTTAATTAGACTCATGTCAAAGTGTTTAAAGTAGTCTGTCTCATCAGGGAGTCGACACTGTGGACTCTGTGGCTGAGAGTCCGGACATGTGCAAGGCTCGACACATCAGGAACGGTATCACCTCCACTCCCGAACCTCAAACCTCCTGCTCCTCCTCCTTCTCCTCCCCCTGCCTGCAGACCCAGGAGGATTCAGATGTTCACACTGACATGGAGTCGTCACCCCCCTTGCTGGAAGACTGCAGAATAGAGCAGCATAAAGGTAAGGACAGAGGACGGCTGCAGAACAGCAGAAATATCAGTTGATTTTCCAAACATCTAGGATGAATGTTAAGAGATTGTACCTCAGCTCACGGTGGCTTTCGACAGTAAACAGTTTTGGCTCAAATGGAAGAGCTCTTGTTTAGCATGCGCAACGTATCAATGCCCACATTGGTTGTTGATTATGTGGAGTGGCAGAGACTACGCTGCTGACAAATGTGATTGTAGATTTATTTCTGAAACAGTTTGGCAGTTTAGGAGAATGATTCCATCATTTCTAAATATTATGTAACATTGCTTACAGCAGCTAACACTGCCCATTGCCATATTAAATTAGCCACAATCAACCTTTTATTAACCAATCTAATATAATTTTTTATCACTGACAGAGCGCTAATGTTAATAAGCAGTTAAGCTATAGCTTTAACTTATTCTGCCTTAATGAAGTAATGGTAAATATACTGTGTCTGTGAGCTGCTGGTGTGCAGTTACAGTAGGGGCATCAGAAATTATTAAACCAGAGGGGACATGTAAAATAAACGTGAGCTGACAGTAACAAATTCATCTTGCTCCTCTTTTCAAATGTGAAACATAAGTGGGAAGTCCTTGTTGTAGACAGTCATGTATTTAATGGATTCAACAGCACCATCTCCACTGCAGGGCTCTAGGCTAAGGGTTTTCCCAAGGAGCACATGTGCTCCTAAGTGAAAACATTTAGGAGCACAGAAAGAAACCATCCTCTGCTAACAGTGTTTTGCTGGCAGCTGGGCGATGTCTTCCACTGCTTTGTGATTGTGAGGGCTGTGATCATTGAAACATTTGATGTTATTTTATTGAACTTAATATGTTGTAACACCAGTAATGTTCTGCGTTGGCCAGTCCAATACGTGTTTTTTGTAGTCAGTCGAGGAGCAGGCAGGTGATGATTGTATTTGACTCTGCTCATAGGAGGACCAGGCAGGTGATGTTTATAGTTGACTATGCTCATAAGAGGACCAGGGAAGACATGGGGCTGGTGGCAGAAGACCCTGTTGGAATAGGGATGGGCCAAAGAACCAGCCCATCCGTTGGACTCAGGAGGACAGTGCCACGCCAGTTGTGACACTGTGGCGCAGGCGTAAATCTCCTACTCACCCTCCCGATTTTGTGACTCCATGTTCATGTTCCACAGGTGCAGAAGGGAGCTCTCTTGCTTTTAGCAGGGAGTCCTTAAGACGGCCACCTCTTCTGTCGATGCCCGTTTTTTAGAGTAAAGGTCCGAGCCGGGTCGCTTTACGTTTCTTTTTATATAGGCCTGGAATGTCCGATGCCATGGCAAGGCTTGGAGGGGCGGGTGAGGGCTGTGATCACTGAAACATTTGATGTTATTTTATTGAACTTAATATGTTGTAACACCAGTAATGTTCTGCGTTGGACAGTCCAATACGTGTTTTTTGTAGTCAGTCGAGGAGCAGGCAGGTGATGATTGCATTTGACTCTGCTCATAGGAGGACCAGGCAGGTGATGTTTATAGTTGACTATGCTCATAAGAGGACCAGGGAGGACATGGGGCTGGTGGCAGAAGACCCTGTTGGAATAGGGATGGGCCAAAGAACCAGCCCATCCGTTGGACTCAGGAGGACAGTGCCACGCCAGTTGTGACACAGGCGTAAATCTCCTACTCACCCTCCCGATTTTGTGGCTCCTGGAACTCCATGACTCCATGTTCATGTTCCACAGGTGCAGAAGGGAGCTCTCTTGCTTTTAGCAGGGAGTCCTTAAGACGGCCACCTCTTCTGTCGATGCCCGTTTTTTAGAGTAAAGGTCCGAGCCGGGTCGCTTTACGTTTCTTTTTTACATAGGCCTGGAATGTCCGATGCAATGGCAAGGCTTGGAGGGGAGGGTGAGGGCTGTGATCACTGAAACATTTGATGTTATTTTATTGAACTTAATATGTTGTAACACCAGTAATGTTCTGCGTTGGACAGTCCAATACGTGTTTTTTGTAGTCAGTCGAGGAGCAGGCAGGTGATGATTGCATTTGACTCTGCTCATAGGAGGACCAGGCAGGTGATGTTTATAGTTGACTATGCTCATAAGAGGACCAGGGAGGACATGGGGCTGGTGGCAGAAGACCCTGTTGGAATAGGGATGGGCCAAAGAACCAGCCCATCCGTTGGACTCAGGAGGACAGTGCCACGCCAGTTGTGACACAGGCGTAAATCTCCTACTCACCCTCCCGTTTTTGTGGCTCCTGGAACTCCATGTTTTCTGGAGTCAGTCGAGGAGCAGGCAGGTGATGATTGTATTTGACTCTGCTCATAGGAGGACCAGGCAGGTGATGTTTATAGTTGACTATGCTCATAAGAGGACCAGGGAGGACATGGGGCTGGTGGCAGAAGACCCTGTTGGAATAGGGATGGGCCAAAGAACCAGCCCATCCGTTGGACTCAGGAGGACAGTGCCACGCCAGTTGTGACACAGGCGTAAATCTCCTACTCACCCTCCCGTTTTTGTGGCTCCTGGAACTCCATGACTCCATGTTCATGTTCCACAGGTGCAGAAGGGAGCTCTCTTGCTTTTAGCAGGGAGTCCTTAAGACGGCCACCTCTTCTGTCGATGCCCGTTTTTTAGAGTAAAGGTCCGAGCCGGGTCGCTTTACGTTTCTTTTTATATAGGCCTGGAATGTCCGATGCCATGGCAAGGCTTGGATGGGAGGGCGAACCCACGAGATAGGTGCTTGCTCCTTGCACAGGGTAAATAGCTCAAAATAGCAGAGCGTTCGCTCAGCATGCTTGAGGTAGCTCGCTTTCTTCAGGAGAGTTTGGAGTTCTTCTGTTTGTGATCAGAGGAACAGGCAATTTACGTGGCGATATGATATGCACATGCAAAGTGGCAAGCTTAGCTTGCGAGAGATGGCGGAATCTATCTGCAGTACAGGTGTTTTGTTGAACGGAATGTGTGAAGATTTGAGCTTGTACTCAGTGCATGCGGCAGTGTACCGACGAGAACGTTTCTGTGGACAAACTGACCTCCTCGTTCCAAAGGAGCCAGGTATATTTGTGACATGGCAGACTAAAGTAAACAATCCCGCGACGAGGATGGAATTCTAACCCACGCGTGCAGAGCACAATGGATTAGCAGTCCATCGCCTTAACCACTCGGCCACCTCGTCTGCTGGTGGCCTGTTTTTGCAGTGAAAGTCGAATTAAGGCCACTTACAGTTGGTTTTGTCTAGTTTTGGAACGGCGTGGCATGGAGGGGAGGCAGACGGGACGAGTGAGGTGCCTGCACCTGGCACAGGGGAATTAGCTCAAATGGTAGAGCGCTCGCTTAGCATGCGAGAGGTAGTGGGATCGACGCCCGCATTCTCCAGGAGTCCTTGGGTCTGGTTGTGTTTCTGATCAGCGGACATGATGTGGACCAAGACCACAATGAGGCTTTTTGCACCAGCTCAACCGAGAACTGCCTGAAGACAACCAGTGGGTGGTTCTTCACTGTTTTGTCTTGTGTCTTTTCCTGGAGAATTTCCCGGTAACCTCCCAGGATTGTTACATATGCCTGCAAAGTATTGAATTCCTTTTCCTTCACTCAAGCTCTGTGGAATACAGAAAACAGGGAAATGATAGAAAGTAGTGTAACCATACTCCTTAGTACACTTGTAATCAATGAAACATTTGATGTTTTATTGAAATGTCATGTGACATAGAATGTAACAAAAGAGACTTTTACAGTTAAAGTCAAAGCCAGGTTGCTTTACTGGGTGTCTTAAAGAGGCTTTGAACGTCCGCTGCAATGGCAAGGCTTGGAGGGGAGGGGAAGGGCACATTTATTGTCAGAGAAATGAATGAGTTGTGTAAAGAAGATCTCGTTGTCGGCAGGATTCGAACATGCGCGGGGAGACCCCAATGGATTTCTAGTCCATCGCCTTAACCACTCGGCCACGACAACTTTTTTGTTGTTCAGTTTGTGTGGAATGCAGAATAATTGTGATCATTGAAACATTTGCTGTTATATTATTGAACTTAATATGGAGAACAAGGCAGGTGATGTTTATAGTTGACTATGCTCATAAGAGGACCAGGGAGGACATGGGGCTGGTGGCAGAAGACCCTGTTGGAATAGGGATGGGCCAAAGAACCAGCCCATCCGTTGGACTCAGGAGGACAGTGCCATGCCAGTTGTGACACAGGCGTAAATCTCCTACTCACCCTCCCGATTTTGTGGCTCCTGGAACTCCATGTTTTCTGTAGTCAGTCGAGGAGCAGGCAGGTGATGATTGTATTTGACTCTGCTCATAGGAGGACCAGGCAGGTGATGTTTATAGTTGACTATGCTCATAAGAGGACCAGGGAGGACATGGGGCTGGTGGCAGAAGACCCTGTTGGAATAGGGATGGGCCAAAGAACCAGCCCATCCGTTGGACTCAGGAGGACAGTGCCACGCCAGTTGTGACACTGTGGCGCAGGCGTTAATCTCCTACTCACCCTCCCGATTTTGTGGCTCCTGGAACTCCATGACTCCATGTTCATGTTCCACAGGTGAAGTAGGGAGCTCTCTTGCTTTTAGCAGGGAGTCCTTAAGACGGCCACCTCTTCTGTCGATGCCCGTTTTTTAGAGTAAAGGTCCGAGCCGGGTCGCTTTACGTTTCTTTTTACATAGGCCTGGAATGTCCGATGCAATGGCAAGGCTTGGAGGGGAGGGTGAGGGCTGTGATCACTGAAACATTTGATGTTATTTTATTGAACTTAATATGTTGTAACACCAGTAATGTTCTGCGTTGGACAGTCCAATACGTGTTTTTTGTAGTCAGTCGAGGAGCAGGCAGGTGATGATTGCATTTGACTCTGCTCATAGGAGGACCAGGCAGGTGATGTTTATAGTTGACTATGCTCATAAGAGGACCAGGGAGGACAAGGGGCTGGTGGCAGAAGACCCTGTTGGAATAGGGATGGGCCAAAGAATCAGCCCATCCGTTGGACTCAGGAGGACAGTGCCACGCCAGTTGTGACACAGGCGTAA